TTTATTTGCTCCTCTGTACAGATTTAATTACGTCTAAGTGCTCTGTGCAATTTTTAGAGAGCTGCTGCAACTCGGTGTTTACCAATTCAGGTGCCACTACTGTTCCTAGTGCCGTTGTATTCCTTCTCGCCAGTAGGACCATGGAATATTAATTTCAATAAAAGTCCAAGTTTGTTTTAGGTTCTTCGACAAGTTGACGTACCTCTCGCAGTAACTAAGTTTGTCGCAAGATAACTAAAATTAATACTTTCATAATTAATCACTTCGGCTGTGTTAATTAAGTAACGAATTCTAAATTAATAACTCTGCAGTAAAAACGCCAAAGCTTCCTTAATTAATAAAATTTCGAAGTGGACATCTCGATACCTTCCTGCGCCAAGCCGGCGTGCCGTCTTTCGTTTTTAATTCGGCTCATCCGAACCGCGACCTCGCCCAAAACCGCCGCCGGACGAAGATAAACGACGTTTCCCTGATCGCAGATTATCGGACCACCTGTCAGACGACCACCGATACAGAACAACCCCATCCTAAATCACCGTGAAAAGCGCATCTGCCCACTGCGTGTATGTTACGTCGTGGGGGTGTGTGTGTGTCTGCTTTTTTCCACGGCGTCGCCCCCTAATTGATATATGGCACTGCAGGGACGTTGGCGGTGTCGCACACCGGAGCGCTCTCTTTTCCGGACGCTGCTATTGATCTCGAGTTAAGTTGTTTGTTCGTCCTTTGACATTCCGGCAGCGGCTCTCGACATATTTTACAAAATACACATCGCTGGGGGTGGGTGGGTTTTTATGAACACCAGTTGAACGCACACGACGGTGACGTTTCGAAAATTGTGGTCCGCCTGTTGCTCGCCGAAGGAAAGAGACAAGGAATGAAATTTTTGTGCGGGGAGGGTGGTCCGCAGGCGAACGTAATGGTGTGGAGGAGAATGTCGGACTTTAAATTTTGGTCCGGTGGTGCCGCGACCAGGATTAGTTACGACTTGTTAAACTGTTTACCTTCTGCGGCATGATATGAATAAATTCGGTTGAGGACTTGGATCTTGAGAAACAGAGTCCAGCTATTATTTGTGTGCTTCGGGTACACTTTGTATTAGGAGTGGCTGGCTCTCCACAGTCAAGTTAGCACGACTGATTTTTTTTTGCAGTTGTTTCAAGGCAAATTAAAAGTTCAACAGTCGGAAAAAAGTGAACTTTGACAGAGTAATGCCGTGACCAGAATTTAGACCAAGTACAGTTTGTTATAAGATACTGCTCTAAATCTAACCTAAATCGGACATCTCAACGGATGCGTTAATTGGGTTTTGTTGGCGATTGTGGGTCGTCTCTTTTTTTAACGAAGACGTATCCCCGTTAATTAAGGGCGCGTATAATTTTCCGTTCACGTAGGTAGCCGGCTGGCAATTTTAAAGGAGCATCCGGACGAAGATCCCGTAAAATTATAACATTTTTCTCGTCGAGATGGATGTGTCACATTTTTCACCACTCTCTTTGTCTTAAGCTTCATCCACTATCATCGCGCTCATTCCATCAAAGTTATCAGTGAAATTCGGGCAGCACCCGCCGGTTTTTAGACGCATATTTTTAAGCCAACATCATAAATCTATCCCGGTTAAGCTCCGACCGATCTCATTCATCATACAAGCCCGCAAATGATAGGGGCAGGTAATAAACGCTTCCTAATAAAACTTGTTTTCTTACGGCGTAGACTGAGTAGGCCATTATACGCTTCGAAATTAAATTCAAACACCCAATATGTTGCGGAGAAAACAGCTTCGACAAAAATGAGAATAGGCGCGGCGAACCACCCCCTATCGAATCCAACTAATCGGTTTTTTATCTGACGATTTGTCTGGGTTCGATTTAACTGGAAGCGTTTAGCGCGTCGTAATTGAGTTCTGGACGAAGAAGTATTGGCAGAACGTACGGACCGGACCTACCGTTCCGTTGCTCTCTACTTAGGGTATTGCAGCCTGTCGTAACTGTCATAACTCCGAAGCGTATGCGAGTTTAATATGAAAATACGGTCACCAATCGCCCATTTTTATTCCAAGATGATTGAACATCCCCCTACCCTTGCAGGAAGGGTCGTAAAATCGGTTCGCAATATGGAAGCCGTCGCAGATACATATATGCACATAAAATTAATCGTAAAAATCACACAATGTAATGATTCGCTCGGTGCTAAAATGTAAATTCGCCGAAGAGAAAGAGACGGCGAGCATCGTAAAAGTCCAGATGGTCTGCATCATGAAATCATGATGGCGAATGGCAATTCTCTATTAAAAATCGTTTTTTAAAAACGGCTCTCTGCCGCAATGCCTTTGCAACTTTATAACCCTTCGGAGTCCGCGATCCACACATAAAATTGTCATCCGGTTTACCTTGTCTTTGCGAATAACGAGCGCACATGCAGTGATAAAACACAATGGAAACACTCGACGGCGACACTAGGAGAAATTTAATACGACTCTTCGAAACGAACGAAACAATCGGCGGCGTTTAAAGGACCGAAGGAGAGATAAAACATGTCGGACGCTAAGGGAGCGAAACGAAGGGGCCGTTCGTGAGAGATGATTGTTGTTTGGCCGCGCGAACCATCCAAACTTGTTCACTTCTGAATTTTGTGCGACCGCATTGTGGCCGAGTGCTTGTTATAAATTTTGAGGAGACATCTTGTCGCCTTGATAGATCTCTGCGCCTGTTAAAAGTTGAACGACGAAACTAGGCCGAGCATTAAAAGAATAGCGAGACCGTTGTATATACTGTAGTACCACAGGTTCGAACCCTTCACTCCCTCCGTTCAATTTCTCTTCGGATTTCACCCCGGAGCGTATTCTTTCATCGTCGTACAACAAACGTAAATATTTATTTGTTGTTTTACAGCGGGAAATTTTATGTTCCGCCTCCCACATCACGCAATTTTCAATCAAAATTAAATTTAGAGTCCTCCATCTTTCATTCTCTCCCCGGTGCAATTTGAAATTTTTCCGAGCTATTTCTCAGGTCATCGTGATTTATGATCCTTCTTATCCGTTATGTTTACAGACGCGCGGACCATGTTGGAGGTCACAATAAAAACGCCGTTATCACGACCAGATCTCGCCATCTTTCTTGCAGGATCATTCTGCATAAGATTAAAGGCAGAAACCACTCAACAACATTTCGGTTACGGTCCATTCGGCGCGGATAATCCCCGAAGAAAGATGGGCGATTTTTTCGTCGATTCACCTGTCGGAAACAATCCATTCCGTGACGTTAACTAGCGAATCGAGCCGTTAATAATGCAACAACATTAATACAGATAGTCTTCGAACAAAAAAGACCGATCGGGGTAATCAATTTAAAAGGGAATTAATTCGATTTGTCCATCATACGCGTACGGAGAAAGAAACACTAAAATTGGATTATGGCCGACGTTAAAAGACCGTTCGGGAAAACGTCGACGATACTGCACTCGACACCGCCGATAAATAATTCATCGTCTAATATTCGACTTTTTGCTGACGCGATTTTCTACGCACCGTCAAAAGTCGCAATCAAATGGGATTGTGTTGCACCTCGAACGGGTCATTCGAAGTTTAGCGAGCTCGTGAAAGCTAGATCCCCAATTACGGGGGCTCATTAAAGGCCATTCAGCACATACACAAGAAAGCCTGATTGGATTTGATGTGTAACACTCGACGTTTGTCGGAGAAATGCGGCAAGTCGGATTTAATCCGGTTGCCGAGGCGGCGTACGGTCGTACCGAAATACCTCAATCACGGTTATTGCATTGTCAGACGCTGTTTTTGCCGGAGCGGGTTTTTACCGACAAACTTTGTTTTCTGCTTAACTTTATGAGATTGTCTGCACGAAAATTGATACGCGGTTGATGAACCGGATATCGGTGCCGTCGTGTAGGTCCGCATCCCGGTCACGGCACCAAAAGCGTACCGACTGCGCCAATTTTGCGACGCTTTCCTCGGATTGCTCTTAATTACCGAGTCGGCGGAAACCAGACCGAATCCTGGCCGCCGCACCGACGTTCGAATTCTGCATATGCCAAAAGTGGCGTCGAGTCGTTGCGACGACTGACCTGAGGGATCTTAATTAGTGACTCGACTTCGTTGTTCGCGTCCGCCGCAAATCCTGAAATCGCGTCTCCGTGCTGGAATTTTCCGCTAATTGTCGAAACCGTCTCTCTGACGCCAAAACAAACACCGAGTCAAAGAAAGTTGATCCGTTTGAAAAATCGATTTCCGATAATTGGCATATCAATTAAAAGTCGTCCCATTAATCACCCAGTTCAGGTAAGTCATTTGCAGCATAAAGATGGCATTGAATTTACAACCCGTGGCGATGATGAATAGGGAGGTCCGTTCCGCGATTTATCGGTTCAGTCAGTATCATTACGTCCTGGAAAAAGCGGCACCTCGCCCCCTCTCGCCTGCCGTTCCGAACAGTTCATTTATCAAACACGTTGATACGTGAATGGGTATGTATTTATTATTCCGTCTTGTGAAGGGTGTGCGCACCGCTGCCGCCGCCGCCACCCAGCAAAAATACTGCGATTAACGTGTCAGAACCTGGCGTCGTCGTTTATTATCGTCAATAAAATATCTTAAACGTGCCGGAGAGGATATCGTTTATTTAAAGGGCGGAAGAAAGAAGTCGCTCTGTATAGCTTTGAATAAATATTGAAGCTTCCCTCTTTTTAGATTTGTGATATATGTGTGTCGGGGTGTATTTTTCGAGTTTTGTCGCCGGTCGCGAGAAATCTCTTTATTTATTGAAGCCAACAGGAGATGGCCGAGGCACGGACGCTCTTCTTCCTTCCGAAACATTGAATTATGGAGTGCCGTTTTCGCGTTCGGAAGGGAAAGGGATGTATGATTGTGAGGTCGCCTCTTGTTGCCAATATTATGACTTCGAGAGAAACAGCAGGTCTGCCGGCGCGAGTCTTGAGCGGCGTTCGTTATGGTGCGCGTTTCTTTAAACTTGAGGTTTGAATTTCAGGAAATTATTCGGATTTTCCGTACATCCAATATTTAACACGTAAGTTGTGTGCAGGAGCGCCGTCGAAAAGCATACATTTCGACATGACGACGAGCTCGACCCGCGGCGTTGTTAATTCTGTTCAATTTGTTTGATTGTGTGCACCGGTTGGCTTTTTTTGTCCCCAAGTAATGAATAGAACCGATGGCAATTAATTTTCACAAATGGAAATGTGCGGTTTGCTACAGCGATCACCTGAACACGTCCGCCGGAGCTTTTGTTTTCCATTTAATTAAATAATGGGGGATGTAAACAGGTTGTTCTCTTTGCTTGTCGGCATAATTCGGTCCGATTTTTTGACTAATAGGTGCCCCGGTGGCGCTTAATATCGGCAAATTCGTGATGCGATTAACGAGAACGGCGCCACCTGAGCGAACCAACGAACGCAAATGTCCCGGACGTTACCCTCTTCGCCGATTTATCCACTCTGACCGATTCGTCGTCATTTATTCAAAACGACCGCCTTTGTCCCGGCCATTTTTCCTCGCTAATGGCGTAAGTTGGCCATTTGTCATTTCGGAACGGAATCAACGCGATGCGTTCGTACGACGTTACGTCCGAACTTTTTTCTCTTTACATAACGTCTAATTTACGCAACCCTTCAATTAACCCGACAAAATGTGTACACGCGAAACACCGACAAAATAAATGTCACAACTCGATGAAAAGCAGCCGAATAAAAAAATCATCAAAACGGTCCTTTGTGCGTGCAGCCTCACTCAAACACCCGGAGCTCGAAAAAAGCATTCCCTTTATTTGCATCTGTGCTAACTACCAGTATGTCTGTATTGTCGTTTGATGGCGACATCAAAGGTCGAAATGGAGTAGTTGCGCAAACAACCGGCAATTGACCAAACACTATTATAACCCTCGGGGCGCCTTCTACTGCCGGCGATAGCGGTAAGGAGACGACACGCTTTTTAATAAAGCCACGTAACAGATTTTTACAAGAGTTGGACCCTGCACGAGTTTGTTTTTCGGTGGTTTTTTTTTTTCAGAATAATCGGTTTCGTCTGTTGCTTCAGTCTGTAGGTTAATCCAATCCCATGGGAACTAATTCCGATACGCTCTGTTTGATAGTTCTGTGGTTAATTTGTTCTATGCAACCAAATTGATTAATAATCGTATTAGTGGCAAATACCACGTTGCTAATTCCATTTGCGCTGATTCACTCTTATGATTAGCTTGGCGAAATCATGATGTTGGTGCCAGTTCGCACGACACGTACGAACGCTCGAACAGGTGTCTTGTCAGGTGTTGAGGGGTAATTAATCGACTACTTGTTTTCGAACAGAAGGATCAGAAGTTTTCAAAAATGGTCAATTCACGATTCGGCCTCCTGCTCTACGCGGACCCCTAACGAGAAATTACTAAACAAGAGGCCTGGAAGTGCTTTAAAGATGCACTTTTGGAATGAAGTATACAGCCTTTTAGTTTTCTAGAACGTGTGAAGATCTGTTGAGAAATAACGGAACACGGAACATTTTTTTTGATACCTTCTAGGATACAGCGCCCCTCAAGATCTAGTAGGACACCTAGTAGGAAAATAAAAAAGACGAAGAATTTAGCCAATCAACATATTTCCGATAAAGAAACAAAAAAACGAAAGAAGTGGAGAAAAGAGCATAATGTAGACGACTAAGCTCCTCGACGAGCTGTGTCCAAAGTCCTTCCTGTGAAAAATCAAAAGTTCTTTTATAAAAAGAATTATGGCGGGGGAAATCACGGGGTATGAGTAGTAAGAGAAGGACGCATTATTGGCGAAAGTCGCTTCAGGAGGCGGAACATATGTTGACCAATCAAGTCGAGGACGTGCTGTCCGTTTTCTATCACCGACCGACATGGAATAGGCGCCATCATCCTGCAAAAGAAGTAAGACCGTTTGAAATGGCTGACGTCGTAAGTTTCCCAACTTCCTTTCCAGAAAATTACATTAATTTGGAAATAACTGGAATTTATTCCGCGGCAATTTATTTCGCGATAATTAGTTGCAATTTAATTTTGATTACGAAATTGCCTCACAAATTTTTATACCCTAAGAAATTCGGCAATTCCATTAAAGTTGTAAACTTCCTCTACACGCTCATTTCACCTAAAAATTTCGGCGCCGCCGTCCCCCAATAATTATGACCAACAATGAACAACCCACGATCCGAAAGAATGGAACGTCCGCCCATATCGAGAAACGATTCTTTTGTGTGGTGAAAATGACGTTAATGACACATTTCCCGCAATTGTTGTGGGACATTTGTAACGAACGTGCCTTATGCAAATAAATCAAAAAAACGTCAAATTTTTGGCCGTTATAATTATCCAGATATTTCCCCGCCATCAATCATAGTAAAATGTAAATATAAAATAATCTAAAAGTCCAAGGTAATCTTTCTTTCAAAAATAATTACGTGAATTCAACTGTGGCATGTGTGAAATGTAAAGATTTATCTTTAATTATATTTCCGTCGTAATATAACGCCGCAAATATTCGTTTATCGCGACAATTGCGATAATACCGAAAACTTTTCACATGCGCCGCCATTTTCGATCCGGGCTAAATCGTCCGGAAGTCGACCACAGCGTTAGAATGTGTTAAGGGCTTTTAGCATAATTCCGTAACATTTTTGTCCCAAATAAACTTGCCAACAATTTGGCCAAGTTAGCGAGAAGGGCAGTGGAGCGCGCGCACATACGATGTAATTGCGTTATTTTTAAAGCGAGGAAGGAAAATGGGAGTCGTAGATGCGAGCAGATTAGTTGGAACTGGCTCGCAACAAAGGAAAATTCGCATGCTGAGAAGTGCATTCCCTCGATATTAAGAATTAATTCCGCAATTATCATTTCTTTATTGCCCGACATGAAAGTCGACAATTAAACGTACGGCACGCCACTGAAGGTATCGTGGAAGTCGGCGGTTTTTACAAGTGACAGCTCATGCAAGACCTGCGTTTAGGGGATGTACATGACTTGTTGGCGCCGAAATTGCCCGCGTGAAGGGTAATTAAAATGGTTGGCTTTTTATCTACATACAAGGGATAGGGCGGAACGCACAAACGTTAAATACGTCGAGAAAGTTCACACAAAAAATTCATCGAGAAAAATCGACGACGCGATTATGTCGGAGCAAGAGCAATTTTTGTCGGATGAACTTTAAGCTGGAAGATTGGTAATTCGTTGGTGTAATGACTTCTCCGAGACTTTCATGTTCGATTTGCGTTTCCACTACTTCAATCAGTTTTTTTAGTTATTTATTCATAGACTCAGGCCTGATGCGATTTTAATTCGCTCGTTAATCAGATAGGATACTTCGACCTCCATTTTATCGTTTGTACCTCTAAACATTACATCAAAAAAACGAGGGCTCGATAAGATTCTCCAATTGCCATTCGGAGCTAATCTTGCATCTACGAGTTAAGGGCAGCTATATTTAAAAAACTGGCAATTATGAGCTCCCTCAGGTTATGAATTTTGATCACCCCGTCCTCTCGGGATGATGAAATAAGGAAGCACCTAATGGAATACGAGGTACTTTTATCTCCTGTCCAATTAAAAGCATCACGAAGAAGAAGTCATATCGAATCGTTCCTCCACTCCACCAGCGTCAGCCAAGAAGACGAAGTGCCCTTAGCATCGCGCACAATGCCATACCTCGTTTTGTTTTCCTGCGCGTTGTTCTCCCCATTTCCCCTGTCATTACGTGACATTAATCAAAAGTACGGCACAACGACGCTCATCGCGGGCCTGGGCGGTCCCTGTCGTGTTCCGAAATTTCAAACAGAACAGCTTTGCGAATTGTTCCTTACGCCAAGTGTAATTATGTAAAGTAGCAACGTCTTAATTACCATTCTTTATTCAAAGTCAGGTGAATAATAATCCGTCATGCTGGGCGACAGCCAGTGGCGGCAGGGCGGGTAAATGAGCAAGAGGAATAAATTACGAGACAAAGAGGACAGAAATTGACTTAAGCATAACTGAATATTTTCCAGTATCAGATTGCAATTGTTGCGCGAAGCGACTTAAGAGGACCGAGGATGCGTTTCGGGTGCCGATCCCCGAGCTCGGGCCTCCGAATGCTTAAGGAAGGTAGTGCTTGAAAACTTCTGGGACTATCACCAAAGTACGATCGTGGGTCCTTGATAGTGATCTTTGGAAATATAGAGGATGCTCTTCAGAAGCTGCATAACTTGAGCCAATCAGTTGGGGCTTTGATCTTCCATATAGATCCAAATATAGAGAAGTGGTGGTACTGGCGCTTCGACAACTTGTTCCAGGATTGACTTCGGGTGGGCATCTTTTTTGGGCGGGCGTGCTTTTTCGCTTGTGGAAAAGCCCTCGAAGAAATACGTCTCGGTCGTTTCCTTACCTGCCTCCCGATGACGTTCCCAACGCGGCATAACGTTTTAATTTGTGTCTGCGCGCAAAATAAATTACCAAACACAATCGTTCGACTTGCAAATGAAGCATTAACAGATAGCTCGACAAGAGTTTCGGTGAATGTTTCTAAATGAGACAACGTTTTCACGGTAATGGTCCAAATTTTATTATAATCTCTGGTAGGAGTGAGGTTCGCAACGAACTTTGTTCGCGAAACTTTCGGTCTTGTCTTTGAATTTATTACGTCGTGGGAATATTTTTATTGCGTTATCGGGCGACAGTCGCACTTTAAATTTCAACTTTCCCCAACTGATCGTCCGTATTTACATTTTAAAACGAAGAATCTACTCGTCATTTTCCCTCTCGTATTGTTTCGACCGAAAAGCAGACGTATTTAGTGCGCGTTATCGCGATCGGACGTGTATGGTACGCTACTCCTGGATACATCCTTCATTAATTCAGATGTAGATAACTTACACCTAATTACATTCAAAGCACGCAACCGGATCGTTAAACAATTGTAATATTTACCTGCCATATTGTAATTAATTACACCCACTTTTGATTACTGTTGGAAGGGTGGAAAAAAAAATCCACTTCCCCTTAATCATCTCATTAGCCTAATACTTCCACGAGCTGCGGCCCGTGGCATTAACAGAACGCCCGCTAGTTTTTAATAACCACAATTTCGAGTGAAAATGGGCTCGAGAACGCTAATTCATGTCGAAATGTCTTTCAGCGGTGCGGAATTCGTTCTCTCGTGAATTAATAATAATCATATTTATTCGCCACTTGGGGGCGTAGCGCCCTTTCATTTCCGAGTATTTTGTTTCGCAACCCCCCGCGCGAAACACGAATACTTTCCGTTTTGACGAACTCCACCGTCTCCGTAGATTTACGCAATCAAAAGAAAAAAGCGATCCCCAAACTCTCGCCAGTTGGAATTCCACAATCGCGCACTTAAGCTGTTTGAACGTCTTAAAGCGCTTTATGAAACGGCGAGATTACCCCCAGGTGTGCGGGCTGTTGTCGACTCCTCTTAATCCCGGTTACTGTTTATGTTGCAGATCCTCCCGAGATCACCATGAAGCCCCGCAACCTCCAAGTCAAGGCCGGCGGCATAGCGGCCTTCTACTGCGCGGCCAGAGGTGATCCGCTTCCGGTGATACAGTGGAAGAAAAACGGAAAGCGAGTCTCAGGTGGGTACAAGGATTTCCAAATAGTTCGCCAACTCCCGATGAAACTAAATTTAACACTGATCACAACAAACGTTACGTGAAATTGCAACGCTTGCCTCAAAACTGAGTCATGAATGATTCGAGGTTAATACGTAGACGGGTAAAATGTTTCCGATTCTTTCGTCTTTGCTGTCTATACTTTTCGCGAGTAATCGGCGCTCAAATTTAACAAGTGGGGCATTTAGTTCTGCCTTAATGCAAAAGCGCCGATACGGCCCTTTAAGACGGCGGCTGTGCCTCTTTAAATAAATAATCTGATCCTCGTCGAGCACGTTCTCCCGTTTCTTAAAACAATTTCTTATCTAGTCAGTGTCGGAGTGTTTGCATTAAAGTTTGACGTGTACCTTTCGGATTTAGCAACGGAATAAAATATTATGCAGAGGAAATGATTAGTGATGCTCATCTATCCCGTTTTATCTCAGCTTTTCAGAATCAACCTGTTGGAAAGAGGCGAGCCGAGAGTAGGTAAAGCTCTTCGGAATAGTTGACGAAAGTGAATAGTTGCGTGTAAGTTTAATCTGTCCCGTCTTATATTCGCTACGACACAGTTCCCTCTACTTTGTGCAAAGTGCTCTCATTTTACGGACTTAATGAGAAAATTCCATGACCTCTGAGAGATGGATCAATGTGTTTAATCAGCGCTTTCGGCGTTCTTATGGTACAATTTAAATTTTTTCGGGGAAAGTATAATCGATGCTCTAAATAGTTGGAGCGCATGAAAAAAAAACGGGACGATAAGGAGGCTTAGATAAGAGAAATGATTTTTTTCTTTCCGGGAGCGTGCCGCGAGGTTCTTATAGGGCAAAGTCGAGAAGAGATATGTGACCATTATCAGTCGGGTGGCTAAGAAAATTGAAAAAATCGAACGAAGGGAGATCGCTAATTTAGGCTCGACGGGTTTTTAATGGATCGTTCCTGAGATGAAAATAACTATTTTCTGATAGGGTGCTAGCTTTCGGAGCATTCGGCACGCAGGATCGGCGCCGTTTCTCAAAGAGTTGTTCAAAAACAATCGCTATGCTGGCGGCGGAACAGCTGGTGTCTTAATACAAAGACGACATATCCATTCCATCTACAAACAAAGAGGTATTTAAATGCCATAAAGCACATTTTGTAGTATGTACATTATAGTGTACATCAAACATTCTACATGCGGTTGACAATTTAGCGTAGGGAATTATTCCGCCACCAGCAGTTAGAATGTTCCCGCTTCCTTATGCACTTACTCGCTGTCGGTAAGCTTTGCTTTCTCCTTATTTATTTTGTTGCTCCAAATTTAGCTACAGCAGCTTTATCTGGAATAAATCCAGGCTCTTACGAATTCAATTATCAAAAATGTTTTTCTGCCTTTTCCGTTTTATCATATTTGGCGTAGTTATTAGGATCATACGATATTTTTTGTTTTGGGTTCGGGGGCGATTTTCTTCAGCGGTAACGAGCCGAGTAATTAGTTGCAAATTGTATCGTATAATTTTGCCCACGAGCTCCTGTTTCGCATTACCGTCAAAGACGCTCCGGTAATGTTGCTTTAAAATTTGTAAGAAGATATTTACGATCACGGTATCGTGTCTCCAGTAAAACTAAATAAATAGTTTACGCCGAACGTTTGTGTGAAAAAGTGTTTTTAATTAAGGGGTTGGCCCGGAGCGCCACATTTAATTGACTGCGTAATCTCAAAGGCGAAAAAGCTCTGGCAGTTGATTCATTTCAGAAGGTGACTGAAAATTGTTAAAAGTAAACGAAGACAACGTTCTAAATTTTGTGTGGGCTGAGTCGGCGAAACCTTTTCTTGGGATAGTTTTGAGTCTAATACTTGGCATGTACACGTAGACTAGATTAACGCGCAGTTTGCCTAGTTCTACATTATTGGAATCGTTGGCGAAATATCCGTTTTCTAGTTTCTGGCTACATGTCTCAAGAATAAAGTTTTCGTAAAGTAAAGGTGGCGATGTTTGTTCGCCCGAGGCAGGTGGGGTAGTCGATTCATAATCCCGCCTCCACAGCGCGATGCCGTCTTTCGCATGTGAATCACGTAGTGAGTTTGAGGTTTCCTTTCCAGGTTCCCAGACGCGATATCAAGTGAAAGAATTTCCAGACGGAGGATCTTTACTGCGAATCGAACCAGTTAAAGCCGGCAGGGACGACGCCAACTACGAGTGCGTCGCCGAAAACGGCGTCGGGGACGCCGTTAACGCCGATGCCACGTTGGTAGTCTTCGAAGGTGAGTAATACGGTAATGCTTGCATGCTAACGAGATACCTTACGAAAAGGGAAAGATCAAAGGCTCCCTTCGACCGACCTGTTGGTTATTGTTTCCATAAAGAAAATCGCGCACACTGCTAAAGAAATGAAGTTTTTGTCCGAGAATTTCGGGTTCCAGAAAGATGCTTTCATGACGAAAAAATATTTACCCAACTATTCGGTCCTTTCGATAGCATAGCGTACAATGAGCTTCGGCAGCGCTTTGGGAGAGAGATTCGGATATAAATTCCGTGAATGAGAAAACGGGTCTTAAGTTGAGTCGTTCGCTTGTACGGTTTAATACCTATCTATTTTGCGGTCCCATTCGTATTCAGATTGTGAAACCCTCAAGATCACTGACCGCGAACGACCAATTTAATAGTCTAACTTGATTCCTGAACAGTGCGTTGTTTCCGAGAACTTCCTATGATGTTTAAATGCCTGTTTGCGGCCGACTAACAATAGTCCTCGGTCTTTAATAACTACATGCTACTGTACCAGCGCTAGAGGCCGGACTATTCGGAAACAAATAACTCGGTTAAATTCCACCATCCCTTCAGTAAAGGTTCACTTGAATCACATTAGAGTGGAGCTTTCGATTTAATAACGTCGTCATTTTCTATTAAATAAACCGCAGCTTAATCCTCCTCGTTGTGTGCAACTCTCTATACGGCCATTTGTTGTTTTAGTGCGCCGTTAGTGTACTGTGTGTAATTAGTTATGGTAATTTATTAGAGCGACATCTATTTTAATAATGGTAATGATCAGGTTTGACGCTGGAAGGGACAATTACGTTATTGCCGCGTTTTCCAATTACTTAACTCTATTTCCGTTGGAATGACGCTTCATTAGTTTCAGTTAGCCGCTGTTGGAACTCTTGTTTCTGCAGCAATATTGTTCTAATGAACGGCATGTTTTCCGTTCACTAAACCTTTTTAAATAGCTTCTGATCTTGTTTCGTTTTATCGCTCTTCTTTGGACGAGACTTTTCTCCTCAGTTGGATGTCGATTTCGTTCAAAAGTCAGGTAGTTCCTAGTTTGCGGAGCCGACTCCTCTTTGATAATAATCCAAAGTTGTCATAATAACACTTCACAAAGAAGTCAAGTAGACAGCGATGGACTGGCAGTCATCTGAACGATTTCTACCTTTGTTTTCTTCGTCGATGGGAGCACATTCGCGTGAAGTTTCAATATCGCTCGAAATAAATCACCGACAACCTCTTCAAGACTTTTCTTACCGCTAGCGTCGCCTAACTGAAATAGATAAACAGGAAAACAGTTATTGTGTCGACTTCGCCAAACTCTCCCCAATTTCCGCCTCTACAGTACCGTAAAATTTTCGCAACGACCGAGTCGTCGCATCTCCCGTTCCGACTTTCGAACTTGGTCAAAATAAAAACTTCGCAAGTCACTAATTATTTCGAGAAATCTTCACAACAGACGATCAGTTGTGGGTAAGCGTCTTCGAATATCTTCGCTTTTGTAAGAGTCCTCGCCGGATCGCGGCCCATCACTCTTCTTTTTAATTTTCTTCATGCTCCACTTGCTCTTCTCATTATTCGAATCTGATTAAATTATTCTCTGCCGATAAACTCGGTAATTAACGGAATGATCATTACCCGTTCCTTCTAGTCGAGAGCGGCTCCGATCAGACTCAGATATCTGTTCGGAACACGTCCTGGATCTCGGTGTGGATGTAAACTTGCAATTAATCAGTCTCGCTGTTTTCCTGACTCGAGACTCCGAAAATCAACCGACCCCTTCGAGGAGTTCACGTTCCGTTCTTGGGTGGCGTTTATTTCTCGTCGAGCGCTTCAATTTAAATTCTTTTATCATTATAAATAAATCGCGTTTTCGCTTTCCTCTCGGTAATTGCTTTGTTTTTTGGGAGGGGATTGGCGGCAGGGTGGATCGGACGGGAGAAGTGACGGGGACGACTAAACTATCTCGGGGCTGATGAAGATGAGGTGTTTCGTCAAGATAAATCTTGACGTTCTGAGGATGAATTGTCTTAATTCGCCGTCAAGTTGTTTGGAATCGACATTTGACACGTTTTTGAAGGCACTATGGCGTAATTCCGGACGAGACGATTAAATCGAAACGCTCATGATGTGAATGGTTATGATGGCTGTTAGATCAACTTGATGGGTTTGAATGGAAATTCGTGAAGGTGATAGGATCGAGCCTGTATTGAGAGGCGGAGAAAATTTGATGTGCTCGAAGTAAATACTTTTCAAGTAGGCCGCGTTAAATACGTCACGTGACAGATCTGGCGCACGCGTATAAATAGTCGACTTTTCGCTTTCCTTTGCGATGGAGCAGAAAAGGACTGTGGTTTTGAAACTCTGACACCAACATCCGCACATGGATTACGGAAACAAAATAAAGGATTACAACGACTTTGTAACAGATCGTTACCAAGGTCAACCAGATCGCAGCAATACGTACGTCTACGTCCATGCGAATTCATCTTCTTTTTACGACGAAGACGATCGAGTTGCGTTATATTTCTGTTCCAGTTGACGTTGCTTTTCACCAACGTGTTTTTAGTATGTACTAGACCTTCGGCGAGGCTCCATTCACATCCTGTGTTACACTTTCGAGATTCAATTAACCTGATGGGAAGTATAAACAACCTCCTATAATGAAAACAGCCGCTCATGATCTCGTAATCTACAACTTCACCTAAACATAATTAATCTAGCGGTTATTTTCGTGCGTGCGTATTAAGCCAGATTTTCCGCATCGCGATGCCGCAGCCGCCGTTCGAAAAACACCCCCGTTCATCTCCTCCGGTGCTAGTTGTGTATTTCCTCCTTGTATCGCGATATTTCTCCGGATCCTCCCAGCAATAATTAATTTTATCTCGGGCACACTTTCTGACTCGGAATCAGAACGATAAATTCCACTTTCTATAAATTACTCGCGACTAGGTAAGGTGCGGTTTATCTCCCGGACACGGAGCAGCCGCCTGTTAAGTGTTACAATTGTTCCTTTATTCACTGCGACGATAAATAAACACTTTTCCGTCGTCGACGCTGTCGACATTGCTCACCTCTACATTCCGGAGGCTCCGGCCGTGATATCGTTATTAGGTTCGGAATTCCGCCTGGTTTCCGGAGATTCGTCGTTCGGTGTTGTTTTTTTCTCTCATCGCCGCCCTCCGGGACGTTAATTATCGTTGTGGATTTTATCCAGGCGCAATTTTCCTGCATACGTGAGTACCAATCGGGAAGTTTTCGACGACGGAAGGGAATACTCCGGTGATTGATACACCCCTAATACAACCGGTAAACAAAGTTATGAACGGCGGTAAGCTCCATGAAATATTCACCTTAGCGAACCGTACGTTAATATCTGTTGGCTTTAATAGTTAATGTGCGGGAGGCGGGGGCAGGGGACGTCGGCGCTCACGTTTCACGCGAGTGAGCTCTATACAGCTTTAAGATACGCTCCCCGCCTGAAAAATAGTGTTTCCAAAAGCCATTTTCCCGGATTACCGCTAATCTTTTCCCATATCCGATTTACCGGCGTGAATTATTTTCCAAACGGTTTAACTCTGGCGCCCAGTGCGACCCCGACGCCGATACGGGACTGTAGGAGACCTCTGCGTCCTAATAATAACAATATAGAAAAATTGGTAAGTTAAATTTACGACGATGTTAGTCGTTACGAGGAAACAGCGACCGCTTGACCACTGATCTTGGCGGTCGTACCGGACCCTAGGAACGCGGTTGCACCATGACGAGATTCCAATGGCTTTATTTCTTGCTACGGGGCAGTGGCACTACAATAGGTTGGAAGATCTAAGCTCCATCTGTGAAACGATCGAACGGTTGTTAGGCAGACAAATGTCTCAGAGATGTCTCTGGCGTCTCCCGCTCGCCGCCCTCGCCGGACCGCTCGGACATATTCAACCCACACGGCGGGCAGTCGTTCGTGAGCCAAATGTCTCAATGTCACCGAAACGCTTCAACTTTTCCCTGCCCACTCCATCTCCATGGCGACAATCCCGGTAACCTGTCATAACCGTCGTCGGCATATCATCAAGCAGCACATTATCCAACTTCATCAGCCATTTACAAAACTCGGTCCTTTAAATTAAACATACCATCCTCCAGTAGCGACAACAGACAACGGCCGAATTTAATAATGAACTCGATGAATAACTCAACACAAAGTGTTTTACCTCGGTAATGCGGCCCGACCGTTTGTGATTCTTTTGATTATCTCCAACAATGTCGTCGCTTTATTACACAAATATGAAGGGTGACTGGTACTGGTTGTTTGTTAATGTCTAGGGTGGATTAGCTTCCGTGCTGGTGGAAGCAATTAGCAGAGCGCACAAAATGGAAGTGTCAAATCCAACCAGATACAAACTAATTAAATATAAACATTGATCGGAGGGCCCGATTATGAAGCGATTAATCGCGTCAGATGAATATTAACTCTCCATTCGGACTAATTAAAATGGTCAAGTGAATGTATATGGTGCGGAAGCGGTTAAACTATAACCCGAATCGGCTCGACGGATTTCTCTCCTACTTCCGACTTCGGAGGTCCCGTGGGAAATAAGGCTTTTCGAAATTGTGATGGAAAAATACAGAGGGAGTCTTAACCTTTAAGACAAACTAAAGAATAATTGAAGAAGTCTCTTGGACGGGCGATTATATTTATTTATATACCCGGGGAGACGACATGTAACGATGACGGGAGGACTCGAGGGATTCGACGAATCTTTTATCAAGGCCTAGGATGCAGCACGAAAACACAATACGTCTGTTGTGTTCAAATTAAGAGTTAACTAAAGTTGAGCACAGTATCCAAGACCTTCATTTTGCATAATTCATTAACAATGAATGTTCTTCTCCGTTGTAAATTGTACCGGATGATGTAGTTCTGCATAGTTGCATCTCGGTCTTATCTTGAAATTACCGCGTAACTTAGAGTTTGCTGTTCGCCATTACGCCGAGATATGAC